TATATATATATATATATATATATATATATATATATAGGGGGTAGGACCCTGCATTTTTAGCTCACTTTTTTGCGGGTAAGCGTATGGGTTTTACGTTATTTTAGTTGCTTTTGACTTGTCGGTTCTGTCAAGTTCGACATTTCTACGAGTTTTAAACACTGGTGTGCTTGAACTTGATCTTTATAGTTGATAATGCGATGATGGAATTTTGAAACAATTTTGCAATTTACACCTGAATATATCTGCATTCGCTTCGGGGCTCAAGATGAGCGACTTTGACTACAGTGACGCAGAGGTTCGTTTTTTGTTTTATTGGGGAATCTTATTTAATTTGTTACTTCAAAGTGACGATACAGTTTCTAGGATTATTCGTACTCTAACGACAGTGTGTTGGATCCAAAACGGCATGCTAGAACGCAGCATAATGAGCTGGAAAGGAGACGGAGGAATAATATAAAAGACATGTACAATGCCCTCAAGGATTCTATCCCTGGGATGCAGAATGAAAGGGTTTGCATTTCAAAATATGCACTTTTTTTGCTGAATTAATATATTGAACCTTTTTTTCTCGTCTTGTACTGTTGTCGTTCTGTTCTAGGCGTCACGAGCTGTAATTCTTAAGAAAGCAGTCGAGTTGATAACTAATAAGAAAGCAAATTTGGAAGCTGGGAGGAACGAAATACAGGAGCTAGAAAATCAATATTTAGAATTGCAAAAGGAATTGACTGCAGTTGAGTCTGGCAGTGATTACGTACAGCCTATCGTAAGTATATCAGAATCCCTCTAGTTTATCCCCTGAATTGATAGCGTACCTTTCACCTAAAATTTACACATTTCTTCATTTATATCTATAGACTTTTTAGAATGGATCAGCACAAAAACTTTTGGCAACACAACCGACCGACGTACTAGCTGCTTCACAGCCTGTTCAGGAAAATTCTGTTTTGAACAGGGAGAAGCGTCACACATTAGACGATTCCACCCCGCCGGGTATTTATGTTTTGTTTTTTTTTTTTTTCTGAAATATTTTTTTCAAGTTGGCAAACTGACTAAAGTGCTGTCGGTATTTTCAGTACATTAGTAACAGTGTTTTAATAATGATAGTTTTGTTCCTCTACTTTTTTCACCATGCTTTTTTTTTTGCAGGAAAAAGGAAAAATGGCCTCGACTCTGATTTTACTGATATCACTAATGCCTAATGATTTTGATGTTTTTACGTCAAGCTGAACCTTTCTGTGAAGTTATTGCTGTTCAATTCGTGTTTTTTGATTTGACTGAGAATTGAGGTTTCTTGACGAGACAAATTTCACCGCCGTGATACTTCTTTCTGATAGGGAATCTAAGTCGTCCATTTTCATATTTGAAATAAAAAATCGGAACCCTCTCAAGTCAGGAAATTATTCTGCTAGATAAAAGTAGGATACTGGCATTTTAAAAAATTTGATTGTGGAGTTAAGCTAAAGAACCACTCAACTTTACTCTTGCTCAAACCTGCGAACCGAATACGAATGAATAGCAGTAGGCCTGTGATTACTATTAGAAAACTCTAACCATTTTTTCTGCCACTGCCTAAAAACAGCTAACAAGCTGCGGCTGCAAGACTTCGCCATAACTGGAATTGCATTTTAAAAAAATAATAACAATAATCACATACTTTCTATTCATAGCAGTAAGTAAATTTTATTTTAACTTGTTTTCGGACGGATTACCATTGTGACTGGAACTGAGCTTAATGTTGTAGAAATGTGAAAGATATAGAGACAGAGTTGTCTGTAAAATACGGTTTCCAATATGAAACGCAGAGCTGCAGCCATAAGTTTACGAAGCTGTACCCATCTTTTGCAGAAAAAAGTGGTAGACTGTGGACGCTTTCGTGAATAAAGTCGCTGAAGAAAACTAGCATAATTCCAATAAACAGAAGTGCTGAGGCAAAAACCTACTTGGAAGGCCAAAGGAACCTAGTAACTATAATGACAGTAGTAATAATAGTAGCAGTAATAACTGTAACAATAATGAAAACAATAATAATAATAATAATAATAATAACAGAAACAACAATGGGGTTGACGGTAATGTCATTGGAAGGTCTTTCAAGTCTTGCTGGAGCTACAAGGCGTAAGGTTGCTAAGGTTTATAATACAGGAGGTATTTGGGAAGAACTGAACAGTTAATAAAACCAGTAATTTTTAAACTGCTGTCATGCTCAGGCATGAGAATATGAAATGTTAAACGGCTGCACTAAAAAAGATTCAGAGTTAGTATGTAATGAGAGTTCTTATTCTTTATAATATTACTTTGTTTCGATTTCAACTTCCAGAAATTTATTTTTTTTTGTTTAGAATGTTTCGTTAAACACCAGTAACAATGGGAGTTCTATAAGCTACTGACCATTACGTCAACGTTAGAGGTTCAAAGTATCAGGGCATAAACGCTTTCTCAGCAATTCCAGAGCCCTAAAACGATGACTTAAACTATTCTTCAAACTCCGTTCCATTTCAGCATATGTCTGATTATAACCTTTCGGTTCAAAGCAAGGGTCCCATCCAAAATAATTTTCGCCTCTAGGCTCAACTATCTGCCCATCGACTCTCCCTAAAAGACTCTATGTCAAGACGAATATAATGAATGTTTTTCGGGATATCATTTTAATATCACCTGTACCGGAGGAATGAAAGTGGCGGTACCTCTGAATAATTCTACGGGCTCTCCTTTGCCCTCACAATACGCAAAAGTACAGAGTGCATATGCCGTTTTGTCCTCAAATCCTGTGAGCAGCCGATAAAGGCCAGCAGGCTTCAGTTTCTGAAGGAACCTTAAAAAGGCCGCAAAAGACTACAGGGTACTGAAGAAAAAACTGCACTAAAATGAAAATTTTTTAAAGCGGTTAATATCGAAATATTTTATAAAAAGTCAAAAGTCAAACTGACCATTTAATATAAGGGCCAGGTAACCCGCCCAATGCATTAAAACAAAGGCACGTGTCTTCAACGATTACCGGACCGTCAATATGGTCAACAGCTGCTAAGCACTTTCTTCTCACAATATCATCCGGTTCTCCTTGATACTCGGGAAGGTCTATTGAAACGTTTTCCACATAAAAAGCGATAATAATTTTGCTATTTTACAATATCATTGGTTATCATAGACAAAAGACTTACTGCAAAGTGATGTGAGAGAATCGCCTGAACTTCTGAAACTTTATTTGCATTGCCTGTAACAAATTTCACGACCTTCATCATCGGAATTGCAAGGTACCTCGTTCAAGTGCAATGATAATCAATAGCAACCTGATTATTAACACAGAATTTCAAAGTTTCATTGAACGAACTATACTTAGATTGTTGGTTGTTCGCCAATGGTGAAAATTCAAAAAGTATACTACTACAGTAACGTAAAATTTGACAATTAGTGTCTGATAAGCTGAAAAAGAAGTCTCGAGAAAGTATGCAAATCCTGAATTGCGACAGTTGTCAGGTGTTTCCCCTGATTCTTCCTTAAACTCTTTACTGATGAATGGACGAATGTGAACTATGGTCAGTGAAATGCCATAATCAACCACTCCTGAACTGCGAGGTTGACGACAGATCGTGAAAGTCGGTGTGGTGATGGACGTCTCAAAGACGGATTGTGGATAACATCCGATGGCTGGCTCTTCGGACTATTTTTTCCCGGTCTCTAAATCCCACTTTCTAGTAAGAGCGGAAGTGTTTCCAAATTATTCGCTTAACAACTTTTTCTCTCCAAAAAGCAACTACAAACGTTTGACAGGAAACAACTCAAGTGTCACTTACAACCCGTGTACTTCACATTTGCAGGCATGCATATTTGGCACAGTAATTTTGGAACTTGCAAGAATTACTTTTAGGAGCAGAGGTGGGAGTTATGCAGACACACTCACTAGTAAGTTACTGTGTAGTTTTTGCGTGAGGGCCCTATGACCACCGATCCATTATGGCTGCACTGCTAATAAGAAGGCACTTATTACGTGAGTGAAGAAATACTACAACAGAATACTTCCCTCCACTTCAGTAATAACTGAAGAAATTAGGGAGCTATTGCAGTTAAGAGTGGTCACTACCAAACGCGCTTTTTTTAACCGTCAACTTCATTTTTTGTATATGGAGTTCTCAACACTGCCTAATTCAGTGTAATAGTTATAGATTTGTCTGTTTAGCTTTTCTCAACTTTTTAGCATCTTGCTATAATTCTTTTGCCATTTTAAAGTGTCATTTGCGTGTCATCGGGTTGTATAGCGGGGATTAAGGCATGTTCTAGATCCGACCTTAGGAATCTGGAAGGTTCAAGTCTGCCTTCCATGCGTTTTCGCTACGAATGGTTCTCATACTTTTTGAATATATTTTGATCTGCTCAATAACATCTTTGTAATCACGATGTTTTAGTCGAGTGCACAGAACTTTCCGACTTAGTGTATGAGTTATTAGAAGAAGTTATTGAGTAGAGTTTTCTAAAGAACGTACTCTTGAATCAGTGCAAAGTTATAGATGGAATACGTGAGGATCTTTTTGATATATTTATTCCAATCATTTTAAGCAATTTAGTTTGACATAGTCGTGACATGGTGTGATTCCGTAGCAAATTTCATGTATTTAGGAAGTTTATCTCAGAAAGACTTTGTAGCCATTAAAATAAATTTGTAATTGTCAACGTGAAGGACAATAATTTTTGAATTTGGTGTAATAATGGATAGGAGCAATCTGTTCAACTGTACTAGCCTGATTCAGAAAAGTCAAGATTTTTTTTTTT